TGCTTAGGGACAGGGTTTAGTGGTGGGATGGCAGGGTTAGGGGAATGGTTGGACTTGATGATCATAAAGGTCTTTTCCAACCTAGATGATTCCATGATTCTATGATTCCATAAGTTCAGCAGCACTAAACCTGCTCTGTAATTGAAGGAGAAAAAGGACCTTGTCCTACCAAGAGTAGTTTTGTGGAGGCATCTGTGGTGCCCACATCACCCCAGGCTGGTAAAGTGGGTTGCTGCAGTAGAAATGTTGGGGTTTGAGCCGTGGCCATGTCAGGCCATCGCTGATCCTAGAAGACAGCATTTCCTGCTGTTCTCCTGGCAAACCCCCAGTGCACAGACTTCCGTCCCACCTTCCCCTTTCCCTGCCACAGGACAGCGCATCCCCGTCCCGCGCTGCAGCCGCAGTAGCTGCCAGGTTTCTGCCTGGGACACCCTGCGTTTCAGTGGCGAGTCAAGCAACGCTCAGCTGGGCAAGCTTGGGGGAATGAAACGTGAGTTTTAAATATAACTCTCCAGCCAAAATAGCAACCTGTGTTCCCTTAGAGTCTTCAAGGTGTGAGCAGTACCCTGGGCACGCATTTGCAACTCCACACACACACAGAAGGGCCGGCAGGAAGCGAGAAACTAATTAAAGAGATGATGGGTTTTTTGCTGTGAGCAGGTGCTGTCAGGTTGGCAACACCTCCGTAAGTCCAGATGGACCCCGGGGTCCCTTAAGGGCACAGGCAATGCCATTCCCAATCCCAAGCAACTACCCAACTTCAGCAAAAGGGGAGCAGAAAGTGCACACTCATCCTCTCTCGCCCACTTTGCTCCAGGAGCTTTGCTCTCGATAGCCTGGGCTGTAGCGTGAGAGGCTGGCACACAGCGCCTGCGAGAAGCCCAGCTCTCCCCAGGCCCCCCCGCCACCCCCCCAGCCCTGGGGCTGGCTGCTGCAGGGACCTGGGGCTCTGCACCCTGGGTCCTGTGGAACTCCCTGCAGGAAGGTGCTGGAATCATAGCGTTGGAGCCGAGCTGCACAGAGGGTGCCGAATACATGCTGAGCCACAGGCTCAAAAGCTGTGGGGCTCAATCCCTCGTGGCTGGAGCTGAGCATCTCCTGGAGGCACTGAACGTAACGCAGCGAGTCCAAGCCCAGCCCTGCA